CCATGCACTGGAGGTCAAGCTGGGTAAGCCGGGGTGAGATGTGCTGGGATGTGGGGTGCAGTCTTTGCGAGCTGCTGGTCACCCCCTCTCCTCTCTTCTAGACTAATGACTGCTTAGATGAGGAACTGGCATCCACCAGATCTCCACCAGGACCAAGCAAAGTCCCTGCCGGCCTGGATATCATGTAGCGGGGTCACAGATGGTGGCAGGGTCCCTGTGACCCTTTTCTGTCCCAGCCCTCTCCCTGCAGAGATGGGCTTGAGCTGGCTCCCACCCCACAGATACAGAGCCAGGGCAGCCGAAGGGATGCGCAGGGTTTGCTCTGATGGGTTGTTTGCATTTAATGGAAATCTCTTAAGCAGGAAAACTTGTATTGGAGACGGGGCACGGGCCGTCTCGGTGCTCTGAGCTGGATGCACAAATCGGGGACAGACTGGCTTGTTTAGGATGGAGGGACCCAAACACGGGGGCTGGTGCTCGCTGTGCCGCAGGCTGCCCAGCAGCTTGGAGGAATCTCTGGATGCAGCCGTGCCCGTAGCTGTTTCTTCGCTGCAGTTATCCGCTCCGCACCACGCCGGCCCCATAACTGCTGTCCAGCCCCTTGTCCCATGCAGCAGCGAAGGCTCCTGCAGCCTCTCCATATGCTGAAAGGTTCGAATTCACTGTACTCGACTGTAAAATTGTATTTCTTGTGCTTTGCTGAAGCCATTTCCTTCCTGCATCTCCAGGGGCTGTTCAATCCCTCTTCCCCCCGCCCTCACCCCCCAGCCCCATAATACCTTTCTTAAAATTACACCTCCAAACCAACAGTGTTCTGCTGTAGCCGGGGGGGGGGGCGGGGGGCCGTGCCAGCCCACAGCGGGGGGAGCATCCCCTCCTCCGTGGGTTCCCCCCCACCCGCGGCAGTGGCTGTCGGGTGGCGGCAGAGGGCGACACAGACCCCGGCGCGGCGCTGCTCTACCAAAAACTTTTATTAGAGAAGGGCAGAGCCCCCGTCCCCTCTCCCCCCACCCCTCCCCCGCCAGGCTACGGTCAGGTCTGGCTGTAGGGACCCCCCCCCGCTCCAGTTTTCCCTGGGTTTACTCCCGGCTGGGTTGCATTTCCCTTTTGCATCCCCCTGCCCTGGGGTCTGGGCACCCCTGCACCCATCGCTGTGCAGATGTGACCCCCCCAGCTGTGGCACAGAGGCACTTTGCACCGTTTGGCAGATTCAGAGTGCGGCATCACTTGATGCTCGGCACGGGAACCGCAGCCCTTTCGTCACCCTCTCCCCATGCCTCAAAAAATGGGATGTGAATGCTTTTACCCTCCCCCGGGGGGGGGCTACTGGGCTCCTAAGGCACAAAATGAATGGCCCAGCAGCAGCCGCAGGAGTGGTCCCATCCTCCTGCCACAAAGGCAAGGAGCCTGGGCCGGATCTGGACCTGGGGTGTGCTGGGCCAACACAGCTGCGTGAAGGTGCAGCGTCGAGCTGGGGTCTGGGATCGGCCAGCAGCACCCAGCCCGCTCCCCATTTTCGCCTCCTTGCTCCACCGCAAACCCCTTTTTAAGGCAAAGCCTGGCTGCAGGGGGGGCAGAGACAACAAGCTGACTGGGGAGGGGGGAGCCCTGCTGTGCCCCCCACCCTGGCCCTAGGCAATACCTTGTCCTGGCAAGAGGGCAGAGCCATGGGGGCAAAGGGAGCAGCCAGCAGCTAAAGCCCCCCCCCCCCCCGAGTCCATCCCTGGGAGGGAGGAGGTGGGGAGCAGCCCCCGGTTGTGGGAGCCTGGGGGGGGGGATCCCCAGCCCCTTCCCCATCACCAGTATCTGCTTAGTCGTCGGCCACGATGGACAAAGCCCGCAGCTCGCTCAGCTTGGCATCGTTCTCCCGCTCCCGCTGCTCATCGCTCAAGCCGGGCCGGTCGATTTGTGCCGTCAGGTCCCCGAAGATCTTGTGCATCTCCGTGTAGTAGACGATCTGTTGGGGGGGGGACGGATGGGATAAAGATGGGGGCGAGTGGGGCAGGATATTGGGGGTCTCCTTCCCCACCCCACCATGGGAGCCAAGAGGTGCGACGCTGCCCGAGCCAGCCCCTCGCCTTAGCATTTCTGTTTCTAAAATAGCTTCCTCCCATGTGTTAATACCACCCCCTTAGATTATTACAACTCAACACATTTTAATAACACGCTGCCCTTCTCTGCTCGCTTCCCATCTGGGGAGCTGCGCACACGGGGCTGCTGCCGGCACCCGGCGCTGCCGCGCAGCCACCGACCCCGTGCCACAGCCGGACTGTCCCCTGCTTGTCACCGGTGTCACCGGCACCGGGACGAGCCACCCACCTGTATTGCTTGGTCCTTCAACAGGTCCCTGCTCCCCGGGCAGGGACACTGCGAGCATGGCGAGCATCACGCCTGGCAGCACCATACCCTGCATAAAGCTGGGGGGTGTGGTGGTGTTTTAATAATGTGCTAATTAGCACCGCCAATTAACTCCGGCAACGAGCAGCGCTTCCCGGAGTGGGAGCCAGTGGGTCAAGCGCAGGCAGATGGCACCGAAGAGAGAGCCGCGGTGCCCGGCAGGGGCTGGCAGCGAGCCCTGCCTGCAGACAGGGTGGCAGAGTCAGGCCCCCCGGCTCGGAGGGGTGCTGTGCCCCACGGGAGGAGGGCGATGGGGATGCCTGGCCTGGGCATCCCCCCAGTTCTGATGGGGAGGGAAGCACTGGCCCGCCGGGCTGGACAATGCCAGCGTTGCCCCCATTTCGCAGAGGGGCACAGGCGAGGCTCGGTGGACTGGCCCCAGCATCTCCAGTAGCGCTGGTGCGGAGACACGCACAGTCTCCATGGAGACCAGTTCCCCTAATCTTGCTCAAAAATGTTGCTTATTTTGGGTAGGGCCGAGGGGAGCTGCTGGGGACCTGCATGCCTTTGCCAGCTGCCTGCATTCCCCCCACCTTCCCCTGGGTCCACCGGGGTGCAGCGGGGGCTGCTCCAGGGCCAGGTCTCCCCACGCAGTGGGCGCTGGGTGATTCAGCATCAATGCTCATTTACACAGTGACTAATGAACCCCTCTTCACAGCAGCAGGGCCAAGCAGGCAGGCATGCGGGCATGAACCCTCCCCTTAGCCCCCCCCTGCTCCATTGCAGCCCCCTCCACCAAACCTTGGCCCTGCAGCCAGGTCACCCCAAAGCATCCTGCCTGCCGGCTGCAGCCCCCGTCCCATGCAAGCAAGAGATGCTGCCCTGAGCTGAGCGTGCCGAAAACACCCCCCACCACCACCACAATCCCTTGGCAATGCCACGGGTGAGCACGGTCCCTGGATGGAGAACTGTGAAGCCGGGCACCAGAGCAGCCCTCCGTGTCCCTCGTCCCCAGCCCGGGGTCAGACGGGCTCGGTTCATTCACATACGGCCAAGCGGCGCTGCCAATTCTGGCACAGAAAAGGCGCCAGCGTTGTTGAAACGAATTTCCCCGGGGTGGCAGGGCCGGAGGCAGCTGTGTGCAGCCGGGGGAGCTGCTGCCCCCCACCAAGGATTGCCCCCCCCGAGCCCCTGGGCATGCCAGCATCCACAGCAGCATCTCCTCTGTATTGAATGAGCAAGGCAGAGCAAATATTTCGGTCGCTGCCCCCACCACCACCCACGTACCGCAGCCATTGAGCCCTTCCTGCGGGAGACCACGGGTCCCCAGGGCCCAGCGGCTCTCCTTGGGGATGCTCTTCTCCCCCAGTAGGACCCAGTGCCTAACCAGCAGGCAGTCATCTGGGGTGTTAGCGTGCATCGCCATCCAAGTCTCCTGTGCTTTATCAACAAGATCCCACAGGCATTGATCCCCTCATGCTTTTCTCCCGTTGAAATATGGGTGAAGAGCATCACTGTCTCTATAGGGGGGGTCCCTGGGGAGGGGATGCACCCCAGATCGATGAGCATTGACAGCTCCAGCAGCGGGGACTCACAGCACCGCAGGCAGCTCGACCCACAGTCACTGTCGCGGTACCCGCTGCCGGCAGCCCCGCGCCTGCCTGCAGCCCAGTACTTTTCCAGCTATGGATACCATATGCTCCGTCCCCATCCCACCAAATCCCATCTCCAACTCGCCTTTGAGACCGAGCCAACGGCCCCGAGTCCACCTGTCTTGAACTAATTCTGTTTCGGGACACCGTGTTCTCCTGATTTTCTATAGATCGCGTTTACAATGCCACAGCCGGGCAGCAGCGGTTTGTGTTTATGTCAGCCCTACACAAAACAAAAGCCCGGGGTCGCTGCCAGAGCTGGACGGCAGCAGCCCATAGCCCTGCCCCATGGACAGTCCTGCCTCGTAAGCCCCATCTTTTTCCCCATTTCATTAAAAACCAGAGGAGTATCATGTTTTCTAGCTGGAAAACAAAGTGCAAGGCGGGAAGGAAGTGTTGTTCACACACTCGCACCAGTGATAGAGCTCCAAATCTCCCCCTTTCATCTTCATGTGGCCACTTCAAAGTCCCCAGCCAGGGAAATATTTGCCTCCGTTGGCTTGGCCCAGGCACGTGGGTGGACAGAAGTATTTGGTGTTGAATGTTACAGCCCCTGCGAGCTCGGGGCATGTCATGCCGTCAGGAGACACCCGGCACCAGGGCCCACAGCCAAACTGTGCCATGGGAATCCAGCCGCCCGGCGAGAAGGTCTTGGAGGGTCTTGTTGGGTCAAAGCCATAAAGCTGCTGCTCCAGAGCTGGTTTGAAGCGGGGTCTTTCCCTTTGCCATGGCACAGCTTGTTCCCAGCAAGTCAGGAGGTCCGTTCATGGCTCATCGTCACGCTGGCCGGTGCCACTTGTCACATGCTTGTCTCACTTTAACCCCACCCTGCTTTCTCCAGGGCCAAAAAAAAGGGAAAAACTACACGATTTTGCACCCAGGTCCACCTTTGAATGGTGGGTTTGACCTGGGGACAAGGAACCCCAGAGTCACAGCCCCCGGCATGGTGCCAGCCACCGGCCACCCACAGCCAAAGGCAGAGCCGACACCAGCCTCCCAGTCCCCGTTTGCCCCTTTCCCTGAGGGATGTGCGCTCAAACCCCATCAGCCAACCATCGCTCCTAGAGGTACCCGCAGAAGAGGCTGAAAAATAGAAATTCCACCGAGTAACACGAAACCCCCCCGAGATGCTAAATAAGCTCATTGAGACATGGAAGGAGAGAGAACCCGGGAAGCAGCAGCAGGATGAATGGGGCTGGCCTGGGGCAGCAGCACAGCCCCATCCCTGATCACATGCCTCCCATCGCCAGCTCAGACCTGGGATGTTGGGATGGGGATGCTCCTGGCATCACCGCAGCAGCCCCCGCCCCGGCTGCCCTCCCCTGCCCAGGTCCCTGCAGGTGAGCAGCCACTGCAGTGAGTCAGGGCTCCTGGGTGCTATTCCTGGCTCGCCACTGACTCATTAAGTTACCTTGGGCAAGTCACTTCCCTTTTCTTTTTTATTTCAGCCACCTGGAATGGGGGAAACGCTGCGCAGCCCCCCCAGCAAGAGCTCCTGAAAGGGCAGGGGGCAGATGGCCTGAGCCCAGCCTCGGCACAAAGGAGGCAACAGGGGAATGCCGAGCTCTCCTCCCGGCAGTGGAGTTGCCGTAGTGCCGGTGCATCCCTCCCAGGGGGGTGGAAGGATGCAGCCAGCGCTGGGGAAGAGGAATGCGGCTCCCATCTAGGTCGGCGGGGAGGGCGGGATGTGACATGCTTTAGCATCCATCTGGGACCAGCTTTAGTCTAGCCTACAGGAGCTGCATCAGCTTTGTTATGACGCTGCCTCTTGGGTATCAAAAACGCGATCTCACTCGCCTTTCCTAACAAAAATCCTCACCTGAAGAGAGGCAGGGCAGGCAGCCAAGAAACAAAACAGAGGATTCCCAAGGAAGAAGAGGGTAGGAATGGAGAGTCTTGCAAACAAACAGCCCCGGCAACAGCACCCTGCATCTCCCGGTGCCCCGAGCCCATTGCTCCCCCCCGAGCTCCCGACGAGCCGAGGCAGGAGCCAGCTGGCAGCCGGGAGCCAGCACGAGCAGAGCGAGGGACATCGTGGCCAAGGACAGAGGGGCAAAGCTGCTCTCTAAGGAAACTGCCAGCGGATCACAAACACCCAGACAGGGCAGGTGACATTTGGGTTTCAAGGTCTCGTCCAAACAACCCACCCACAGCGAGCGGCCGGAGAGGGTTTGCAGGGGGGAAGGGCCAGCGAGACTTTGCGGTGGCTCCAGGGAGTCTGGTTATTTCGGCTGCGATGGCTGGGAACAGGGAGCCCCGCGCGCCCGATTGCTAAGGGAACAGCAAGAACAGCATCCCCAGCACCCACTGAGGCGGCGGCAGGGTGCATCGGCACCATCTGGTAGGTGAATCAGCCTGCAGACAACTTGCTGGCAGCTCTGCGGAGAGGCCCCCCCAAGTCGGAGGTGAGATGAAACACGTGCTCTTTGCACCTCCTTGCAGCCACCCCACCGCACCTGTGTCACTGCAGCAATTCCCTTCCAAAAAAATACCGTAGGAAAACGCCCACGCAAGGAGCAGCACGTGGTTTCGCCCACCTCCTGGTGCTGGACCACCCCGTGATCCAGGGCACGACGTACGCCCGAGATGCCAGAAGTTCAAAGCTAGATTAGATCCCGATAAAGTTCCTCTCCAGCCTAAAGAAAAGGGCGAGAGGAGAAGGAAGACGGAGGAGGAGCGGCAGCAAGTCACAGAAGGAAGCTGGAGGATGGAAATTAAAGCAGGCTGTGGTTTATTTAGGCCACCCCTTCCTGCAAATCCTTGGTGTGGAGATTACACAGCAGCCGCCTCTATCTCTGCCAGCACACACCGGTTCTGTTACCAAGAGCTAGAAGAGACCCTTAAGATGAGCCCTGAGCATGTCATAATCTCAAACAAGATCCAACCCTGAGCTCATGACTACAAATGCAAAGTGATGACATACCCAGATAAATAAAGCCATCAAATGCCAGCAGCTAATCTATAACCAGGGCTTGAACCGCATTACACAGGCAACCTCGTGGCACAAGACATCATGTATGTACCCGGAGTGTCCCTGATACGAGGCAGACCCATATAAACCAGAGAAAACTCACCTCCAGCTGTCCTTTCTATCCGACAGCCACCACCACATCACCACAGGTACTGGCAGATGCCAACACACTCTTCTGCCAGGACAAGGTCTGATGGTTACCTGCCCAGTGTCCCACCACTGCTCCCCGTGCCCTGTCACCACTTGGTAATTAAATTGCTGGAGGTACTGTGTGTTACCTGTGTATAATATTCAGCTCGAGAAGGTGCCTTGCCCAAAGAGCCATTCACACCCAGGCGGGACCCCGGATGCTCTGCAGCGAGGATGCCCACCAAAGGGACTCCTGGCAGTGCCTGGTAGACGGGGGACAGCATCTCACCTGCGCCCGGACCAGCGACTCAAAGCTGGGTTTGAAGTAATCGATGCGGCTGCTATAAAACTTGGGCATTTCCTCCAGGAGCTGCTTGTTTTTGGCTTCAAAGTCCTCCTTCACCGGCCTCAGCTCTTCGCGGGCCTGGGAAAGGAGAGAGGATGGGGAGTCAGACATCTGGGAAAATGCCCTTCCCTTGGGCAGACCTGCACAGAGGCCACCCCAGGCCAGTGGACTGCTCTGCTTTAACCCGAGGACAACCAGCAACCAGCTAATGGGGACCCATACGACCATCCGGTGGAGCCTGGTGGGACCCATGCAACTAGCTAACGGAGCCTGGTGGGACCCAAGTGACCAGTTAATGCAGCCTGGTGGAACCCAAGTGACCAGCTAACGGAGCCTGGTGGGACCCAAGTGACCAGCTAATGGAGCCTGGTGGGACCCAAGTGACGAGCTAATGGAGCCTGGTGGGACCCACGCTCTGACCCTGGACCATGGGGAAAGCCATGGGACACCTAGAGAGGCTACTGCAGAGATCATGAGCCAGCTGGTCTTCTCCCCTTCAGAAAAACGGGGGCAAAAATCAGCCCCAAAGCTCAGTCAGGCTGGAGGACATCCCCGGCCACATCCACGTCCCCTCGCCTTGCGATTCCTGAGAGCATCGCCACAGGATCCTGCCCCCACCGTCATTTTCACCCGTGACCTTCAGCTCAGCGCGTCCAACTGGCTTCTTTAAACAGAAGCGTGGGGAGAAAGGGAAATGTCTCTGAGATGGTGTGGAAAAGGGCAGGAGGGGGTGGGCTGTGAAATATTAGACCGGTTCAAGTCTGCCACTTAATCCGGGTGCCATTCCGACGGGAGGGGGATGTGGGAGAAAGCCGGCAAGCCGAGCCCAGCCACGGCGCCGGTCCCGCTCCCTGGGACAGCACGCCGGAGGGATGGTATGGACAAAGCCTTAAATCATATCAGGCTTAAGTAGGTCTGAGAGGCAAATGAGCAAATTCATTGTCTGCCATGATACAAGGAGCATGTAAACTCCCGGGGTGGAGTTCACATGGGGCAACAAACAGCAGAAGACTTTGAGCAAACAGCTCTGAAGGGAAGATGCAAATTTGCAGCTCAATAAAAATACCTGGATGAGATTACGCTATTTTTCCATCAAATCTGTGGACCTCTCGGATGCCCTGGGTTCGGGATTGCTTAAGGTTCCTGCAGGCATTTAAGCTCATGCAGTGTTTAGTTAAGATCTTTTTTTGGGGGGAATTAGATCACACAGAAGTTCATTAAGGGAAAAAAATTAAATAACTAAAACCTGCTTAATCACCAGGACAAAAGCATTCACATTTTTCCAGCCACAGCTTTAGTCACCGAGGCTAAGCGAAGTAAGCTGCTTACTATTAAATCGGAGGTCTCTTTTGTTAAGGCTGATAGGGCTATTCTTTAACACAAAACTTAATTTTTGTGCGGAAAGTCATCAGAAAATACATGTTCTTTGACGCCGAGAAAGTCAACTGTTTCTTCAAGGATCAAGTAATGTTCTGCAGGAGCGACAGATTTGGGGAGAAATGCTGGTGTAGATTTAATTTAAAAAAAAAAATCATGATTTCGCTAAAATTTGGGAGAGAGAAAAGAATCTGGCAAAGCTTCCTGTTAACCAATTACTGCAATTTTCCAAGACGAATTTTTGTAACAGGTGGCAAACATAAAGCCTTGAAACGCTCTGATCTTCCCCTTTTCCCATCCAGCTGCTTGCTCAGACACGGAGGTCGGGGAAAAGCCCCCGTGCTTCAACTTCAGCGCTAGCTGCTCCTCTGAGCATCCCCAGCTCTCGTGGCTTTTATTTTCATTTATTTTTTTTGGTTTTGGAAAACTGGCTCTTTCCCTTTGCTGAGCGCTCCAATTCACATTTCTGTTATCAAGCGCCCTACATGGCAATTTTACAACGATAAAAGACATCCTTCCAAAATGTTTTCTTTCACGGGGGCTTGGCATGAATGTCAAACGCCAAGAGAAAAGCTCTTCCCAAGTTTTCCCGGTGACCCTGCTTGGGTTTTGGGTCTGTGAGCATCTTGGTACCTGGTGCAGCTTGGCGAGGACAGGCCCGGTCCTCTCCTTCTCCTCGTATTTCTCCACCTTGGACTGGAGGCGCTTGTAGTCCTGCAGTGTTTGCTCCCGTCTCTTCACTGCCATGTTCAGGCTGGGAAACACGCTGCTGAACCTGGTGAAAGGATGGGAAGGGGTTTTGGGTGGGATATCTTGGTCGGATGCAGCATCCAAGGCAATCTCCCCAGCTGAAAGTCCCCAAATAATTCAGGATTCAGACCAAAAATACCCAGGGGTTTAAACAAAGCCCGTTCCAAACATAAAAGCTTTCATTGCAGTCTTCCAGGAGACTGGAAGAAAGGATTAAGTTATATATAAAGATTTGCAAAGCCTTGCCAGGGTACAATGTTTGAGAGGAGAGCTAGAAGCACATACTTGGGGATTTTTGTGAAGGTCAATTCATGTGTCGAAGGGTGTGTTTTTAAATAATAATAATAAAAATCGAGCCAATTTTGCAAAGCCTGGTAAAAGTACTTTGAAGGTCCCAACCTGCTTCTGACTTCTCCTGCCAGCCCTTATGCTTTTACCATTAGTTCTTTATTTTTAACAGTTTTCCTCCTCTCTTCCAGCTGCTGTATTCAAGAACATGGAGAGCTGCCTTATCTGGGACGGGGGACGGAAGCTGCTGCTGCAGAAAACAAAGCTGTTAACTCCACCGAGCAAACCAAAGAGAGAAAAATAAACAACTTTTCCCCCATACAGAGTTAGCTAATGTGTTATTTCCCCACATTTGGAAAGGGAATGAGCAGGCGGAGGACCTGAATCAAAAGTCCAGGAAAAAATAAATATGAAGTGCAAAATAAATCTGAACCATAGCAAACTTTGCTTTTTCGGGCAATTTCTGGGGTTGCAAACCCCAGCCTGCTGTACAGCAAGGCTTGCCCAGCTGAAGAGCAGCTCTGTACCCCACACAGAAGGATTAACAGCAGCCAACAATTAGCCAGGCTACAGGAAGATTCATATTATTAAAATGTGTTACAAATTGAGGAAACATGAACATCTGACGGCAAAGACAAGAGAGAATATTTTTGAACACGACAGAAGAGGGAAAGCCAGAAACTGGAGCATTGCTCTTGTCTCCCAAATTTCAGTAAATCAAGTTATACTGGTGGGGACTGCGCCGGTGCTGGGCTATAGGTTCGTATGAAATGGGTCACACTACCTCCAGATATATTAATTTAACCTCCATAAATTATAGGGTCATTTTGGGGGGCCAAGGTCAGGAACCGGTCGTGAAAAATGTGTCTGAACAGCCTGGTGATGATTTTCACTTCCGAGAGGCAAGCAAACAGCTTTCCCATCTCTTTAAATTGAAAAAAACCAACCTCCTATAATCCAGGCTGGGGGGCACATTAGCAAAAAAGAAAAACACAAATCTCACTTTACGACTGTAATTTGCTTTAGATGTAATCAGATGCAGGGCTAATACAGAAACATTCGGGTTCAAACAAAACCACGGGCGTTCGCAGTCCTGCACAGCCGCTCCATCCCCTATTAAAACCTCATTTTCCGCTGCCGTGCTCGCCCCGGAGGGTGCTAATGTGCCGGACCAGCGGGTGTAGAGGCAAAGCTTTTGTCCCTGAGCCTTACCCATTTGCAAAGGGCAAATGCCATAAGCGAGGGGGAAGGGGAAATATTTGTGTTCAAGCATTTGTGTTCAAGCGTCCCTCGCTGAGATGGTGAACCGGGGATGTGTTCTTGCAATCCTGCTGGCCGAGGATAACCAGGGCCGGTGAGTGCACGGCTCTCATCTGCTCATCACCGTGATATTCTCCCTCTTGACCGAGACTATCGCGAGAGACTATTGCAGCTGGGGCCGTGGCATGAGGAGCAACCTGCAAAAGTCATCAGGGAGCTCGCCCAGCGTCACCCTGCCGCCCAGCTGCCCGCGCGCGGATCAGATGCTGCTGCCCTGACATTGCTTTTTATGGTAACCTTCACACACGGCTCCCCATTATATTTAAATGCCGCGGTGCCTTACACGTCCTGGCTGCGCCGGGCTCCAAGCGTAGATGCACCATCTCCCGGGCTCTGGGCTGCTGCTAAAATACCTCCTCCCTCTACATAAGGTCCAAAAATACGCCGTGAGAGGGCTAGGGAAATAAGGATGGGCAGTAAGGACCGCAAGGAGGAAGGGAAGGGGGTACCCAGGCTGGGAGGTCTCCTCGGTATAAAAGCACAGACGTTCTTTGCCAACGGCGCACACTTAATGTCAGCAGCTTGCGGTTGCAGCTTCTGCAGAAATTTCTCCCAATTATTAATGAGCTGGCAATGGAAAGGAAGGTTCCCGTCAGGCCAGCGGCTCTCGGCTTTATTTTCGTGTTATATCCCTGATGGGGGGAGGTTTGGTAATGACACACAGCCTCTTGCCTCTCTGCGTCGCACCCGAAAGCAGGGCAGGAGCAAGTTGCAGCTCACTAAGGACTATAGGGGCTGCTCCTCCGCAACACGCTGCTCCTCCACCATGTGCCTCTGGGCCTGGGAAACATCGGAGGAGATGGCCCGGGGCTGGGAAATCCTCCCTTCTCTGGTCTGCAGGGAGGCTGCGCACCAAATGCTAAGCCGTGGCCGTCCCCTCCAGGGCTGCCAAGCCACCAGCGTGGCCTGGATGTGGCCGTCATTGCCCGCGCATCTATCAACTCTTGGAAAACGCTTATCAAGAAGATGCCTCAAAAATGCTAAGCCTTGTGCTGGTACCCAACACTAGTTTTTCAACGGCGTTTTTCTGATGGCCCAGCTTTTTAGCCCTTTCTCTTCCCCACTCTCTCATGCTCAGTACTTCCACGGTGCTCGTACATTAGAAGAGCCATGAGACACCAGAGAATTAGCACGCAGCCATTTACATCTTACAAACTCGCTACCGCAGGGGAAGAGTGAACCCTTTAGCTCAGAAACGCAGCAAGTGAGAACACAGAAGACGATCAGCGACACAGTTTCCATTTACTTTGAAGTTAAATCTGGTTTCAAAAAGGAATAAGGCTTGATTTTTTTTCCCCCCCCCCTTTTTGTTCCTAGTATCAACTTAGTGTGATTTTGCAGCCCGTAATGGAAGGACACTGTACTCCAGCAGCACTTTAAAAAAATATCTACAGCGCTGGATCTGAAGAGGCTGTTACTGTGTAGGCACAGCAACTACTGTCTCACAAGGACTTTTAATGCATAGATTATACGCTGCATTTCAGAGAGAGGGAGGGGCGGCTCAGCTCCACAAGCTGCCATTAACACAATGCACCAAACTGGCTCCCCGGATCCGCAGCCGTGCTGGGCACGGCCGCCCGGCTCTGGGTGTCCCGAGCTCCAGCCTGGGTGCTGGAAAACATCAGCGTTAAGCGATGGGTTGCTGAGGGATGCGCGCGAGGGGCTCGAACCACCCCCCGAGATGCTCAAGGGGTTTCAAGGGCTGTGAGCAGCAAAGTTGAAACCCACTTGAGTTTTTGCTGAGCAGCCGCAGCCGAGAAGCGAAGCGGCGTGGAGATTTCCAAGAAGTCACTTGCAAAACCCCACGTGGCAGCTGAGGTTGTCTCGGTGCGGTGGTCCTTCACCGCCAGCACCAGCAGAAAGGACCGGGCCAGCCGTGGCTCCTCCAGACCCCACCAGTGTGCCAACCGAGCTCTTCCCGTGCCGACCGAGCTCTCCCTGTGAGTCACCTGGTTTAATTTTCACGCAGGATTAGCTTAGCTCAAGCAGGGAAGGATGCTCCTTCCTTGGACTGATCTGGATTGAGGCGAAGCTGCCTCTGGCTCCTGAAGGAATTACTCCGTATGAATTCCATATTAACCCAGCAGCTCTGAAATTCCCCTGGAGTTCAGAGAGAAGAGGGTTTCTTACCCACATTGAAGCCCTGCCCATTTTTTTTCTCCCTGTGTGTACAGAAATACGATCTCAAGCCAAGTGCCAGGGGTGGTAAACACCCGTGAAGGGTGATAGGGGCTCCCACCACTGCCAAGTTATTCCGATGACTTAATAAACTACTGCATTTCACGTCATCCCAGTGTCTTCACAAATATCTCATGCATGTTATTTACAAATGCTCCCTGTGGAAAGCCTGGCACAAAGGCCATCTACAGAGCCTCCCGAAGCTGCTGCCATCCACAAACACATCCCTCAGTCTCCCAGGCCCTGCAAGAACAACCCTACGAGGATCTCAAATGTGTTCCGAAGCCTTTGGCTAAGTATTGCAAACCCTCCTGGCAGCTGTGGTGCCAGCAGACAAGGGACGAGGACTTTCGTTAGTGCCATGGGTGGTAAGCAACACCCAAACAGTATCAGCCACTCTGGAAATGAAGTCTGAACAACTAAACCCAGAATTTTAGCATTTTAGCAGGACCAGGGAAGCCTCACAAGCAAACCCTGGTCATTTCACCCTTCCATGCCCCCTGCACACGGAGCAAGGGCAACGATTCCTCCTGCTGCAAAGGGCTCCGAGAAGCACAGATGAAAAGCCCTATAGCAGATGTGGCTATTTCTTGATAAGCCCATCACCATCCTCCTTCGTACGCTCCACCCAGACCCTGCTTTTGTAGGGGATGAGAGGGTCTGACAGCCGTAACCACTCTCAAATCCCCAGGACCGCCCTCTGTTACTTGATACTTTCTTTTTTAATACAAAGCAAAGAAAATTGAAGCCGACTTAAAGAAAATTTGGTGGGTACGGTGCTAAAAGCACAGAGCAGGAGTGAAGGTAAAACAGCAGCACGGGGCATTAGAGCCCCCGCCACAAAAGCAGCTTGCAGAATAAGCTGCCGTTGTTCCCTGTCACTTTTTAGGCAAGGCTGCTGAGAGGGGATTACAGTACAGGCAGCTTAAGAGGAGCAGGTGAGGGGAGATACGCAGGGATAACTAAAAGAAAATACAAATTACTGTCTCCCCGCTGCTGCGGGGGGAGAGGGGGAACGTACCGGTGAACTCCTCTTAGGATGACAGTTTAGCCTTGGAAAAAAAATATAAATCACCCGATTCTCTGAATTATAAATCATGTTGCCACCTCGTCTCCACGCCAGCCTCCCATCAGCTTCCCGTAATTAAAGGACAGGGCTGGATAGACACTGCCACGGAAGATAAAAGTGCCACCAGGATTCCCATCACTGCCAGATTCGTTCGTTAGTCAGCCTAGCTGACAAGTCTGGTGCTTGAAAATTGAAAACTTCTCTCCCTCTCTGGTGGAAGGCTGCTGGCAAGCCAGCGAGCGGCTCATTGCGGGGATGCTCGAGGAGCGGGACCATCCTGTCACCTCCCCGCCTGCAGCAAGGTCCCCAACCAGCCCGTCTTCTCCTCTTCCTCTCTGTCCCTGCCGCCCGCCCCAATGCATCCCCTCTGCTCGCCCTGCGCCTTCCTCCAGCCCCCATTTGTAGTGTCAGCAATGAGAAAGAGGTGCTAGGGCTTTGGCACAGGGAAAAATGACGGTAAAATCTTTATTTCTCCCCATTTGTCAGTGTCTCAAGGACTTGTTGGCAGCCCTGTGAGCTGGACCGGGCCAGCATGCACGTGCGCTCTTCCCTGCGGCATTATTTTAGGGACAACGGCTTGGATAACGAAAGCCAAAGGAAGCGGACAGGATCTACGGCTGGCACCGGAGAGGAGAAAAAGGAATACCAGAGCTGGGGAGCATCAGATGCAAAAGAAAGCGACGGTGGATGAGACGAGGAGGAAGTTTGGAGAGGCACAAGGATGGCTCAGCGCGAGGCCGAAGCATCTGGGCTATGTTGGGGGATGCCTGCCATTCCTCAGCCCGTGCCCACACGTCCGTCGTGGGCCCATCCACCCACCAGGAAGGGGGAAATTAAAACCAGCCCTTCCGACTAGAGCGAAAAGGAACAGAAACGAAGACGACGGTACAAAAAAGCAGCGAGCTGGGGATTAGGCTGAGCGCCCCGCGCGCGGCGGGAGGGGGCCAGGCAGCCATGTGGCTAGCTTTGTGCACGAAATCCTCATTAGGGGCTCGTTAAGGACATGAAAGCGGCTTTTCCTGCTTCCGGTCCCCGGCACCCCTGGGGCTGCTCATGGCCGGTTATCTGCTTCGGCTGCCGGGGAGGAAATCCAGCTCGGGAGTTCACGTTAATGGCAGGGTTATGGGAAGAAGAAGAAAAAAGAAGAAGAAGAAGAAAAAGAAGAACCTCCGCTCCATGGATGCCAAGCACCGGTTGCTATCACCAGCAGATATTTGCTGACATACAACCCTGATTGATTGATTTTATACATCAATCTGCTGCGAACGGCTCCCGGATCGCACCTCTGGGACCTGCCGCTGTGCTGACACCCAAGCCCCGGCTGACGGCACCCGTTGTGTCCCCCTGCCAAAGCCTCTCTGGGTCCTGCAGCAGCCCCTCGGTTTCGGCTGCAGGAACAGGACCGCGCTCCGAGCCGAGGGGATGGTACCGTGCCACCATGACCAGGACATCCCGACGCTCAGAGAGGTTCAGACAGCTCGAGTTTGTTAAATCGAGACCCTGCGGCACTGAAAATCGGCTCCAAACGTGAAAGGCATTAAAGCCCGTGAATCTCCAAACCACCTGGCTTATTTAAGCTGCTTCCTTCCTTAAATACTGACACACAATATGTAATACTATGATGACACTACACAGTCTATCACCAATCCCGCCAATACACCTCGCTGCTCACCCGAGCCTGAGTGAAGAACTGGAAGCGTGAAGTAAAAACCAGCTGTTTTTCTCCCCCCTTGCCCCAAATCCGCCAGTCTGGTGTGAATTTATGCAGGCATCTCCCAAAGAGGAGAGCAGATCCCTCCTGACCTTTCCCAGCCACTCCAGCTCCTTGCCCAACCCACATGTTGAAATATGCAACATTCTCACTAGAGCTTTGCTCCTTCCCTGAAGTTAAATGAGTGATTCCCAGCCAAGAGCTTCTTGGGGCTCAAAAAGCAAAACTCTGAATAACCCTACATCCCCAGAAGCAGAAGGATTTAAACAATACGAGCCTCCACCCCCCTCTAAATCTACTACTGCTTTCTTCTACGTGGTTTAACAAATTCTCCAATATTTGTCTGAAACCTACTATCCCTGGACAACTGAATGGAGATTTTACTGCACATGTGCCTCTGATTACAATATATTACCACTAATGATAATTGCCTGGATTATATTTATCTGTTTCTTTGGCTAATAAACTATAAAAGACCACCAGTGAAGATGTAATAAAGTGCAGCTGTTGTAGCAAAAGCCTTTTTCTAGGTCAAAGCAAGTTTGGGAGAGGCTAGGGAGGACTGTCTCTGCGAGGGGAAGCAATACCTAACTGGAAATAAGAAGAGCTCCTCAAGGCAGCTTTCATTAATCTGAAACTTTTATCCTAGAAATGTTGCTGGGCTTTATCTGCCAGCAGGACAAGGCAAGATGCAAGCTCTGCATTTCTCTCCTGCATCTCATTAGCCTCAAAATGGACCCTTGGGCTCCTTAGAAATGTTCCTGGCTGCACGACTCGGCCATGAACGTACCTACACTTGCGGAGAGTCAGAAAGAGGGAACGAAAGAAACATTTTTTGCTCGGCATGGAGATGCAGCCTCTCCGAGCATGAAACATAAGCTGTTTAAGAGCACACAGCAACTGTTTGCAGGTGCCAAAGGGCAGGAAGGGAAAAAATACCATATTCAAGTTCAATGGAAATTTAGGAAGTTTGAGAGAATTGCCAAGACTGGAAAGCAGCCAGGATGCTGAAGTAAACACAGGACTGGACTGATAACCAGTGAGTTGAGCGTTACACCTTAGGAGATGCATTCCCGGGCACTGTGCTGGTGCCAAGGAGGAACAAACTAACTGACCCCATGTCCTGCAAGACTGCTATTTCCCCAATGTGTCCCTACAACAGGAATAATATAACGTGATCTTGCATAGCTGCCTCAAACCTAAAGCAACAGGAAAGGGTTCTTCCCCTTCTGTACTGTCTGTGCTACAACAGCATCTAGACCAGCAGCTAAACACTGCATAAATGCAGAATAAGACGTCGGTGACGTGGAAATGGCTTTATTGTCTTTAATTAACAGCCCCGTACACTGCCCAGGGTTTAAAACACAAGGCAAGGTTTGCAGGGAAGGGTATTATCTTTCATTTCATCAACTAACACAACTTGGGGAAAAAAACCATAAAGATTTCAGAGACACAAGCCCTTCTTCCAATTTTAACAGAATGCTGGAAGAAAAAGTTAATGTATCTTTCATGAGGACAATCTAGATAATAAGCAACACAATTCCACAGCACAAGCCTGGGATTTTTTTTTTCTTTCTTTCTTTCTTTCTTCATTTTTCTTTTCCCTAAATAATCAATAATTTCTGGTCATGGATAGATGACCAAGGTAAAACTTGAGTCACCAAACACGCCCCAGATAGAAACACACTGTAACCTCATGCACTAAGTGGTATATGAGATTTTACTCTCAGATCTGGGCAGAAACAACAACTTAAAAAAAACAACACCCTGTGTCAAACCTAAACTAAAATTGTTATTCAGCAATTTGCAACACTTACTGTCATATTAAAGTAATTTTATTTTATTTTCGCTCGCTTGCTCTGTTCTTGTAACAAAATAGCAAATCTCAGGATTTCAGAAGACATTTGGTATAACAACTGAAGCACTCCTTAAATATTCAGGGGGTACAGCCTGTGACACTGGTAATGGCTGCTAACGCCAGTGGAAATTGTGCAGACAGAGGGGAACTGCACCAGATGAGACCTAGGTGACAAAATTGCCATGGTACCGAGGCATGACCGAGTACTGACGCACCGTACGGCACCAGTTAGCAAGGAATGGAGGAAAATATGGAAACCTGCTACTAGAACGATACTGTCAACAGCTCCAGCTCTCACTCTCCGATAAGAATTTATTTCCAAGCCATGCAACCTGCGGACGGGCACAGTTTGGAGCAAGGTCCAGCTCCGGCACGCTCCCTGCCACCTCTCCTCCCGGTGACAGGGTGGCTCTTGGCATGACTCTGCAGTGGGCTCCCCTCCACGTGCACACCACGCTGGCCCTTCAGACCACGCATGGTCTGAAGCTTTTCCTGCAGAGCTTTGCAAGACTTTCTCCAGGGTCTGAGACATCCCGTCCTGGATCAGTTACCAGCCCAGGATGGGTGATTCTGCTGTTTTTCTGTCCATAATTCCCACCTGCTCACTGTCTAGCTACGATGGCTCTGTAACGTCTCTTTCTTGCCTGCATGGATGCATTATTTATAAACACAAGAGAACTTTCACTAAAAGCAAGCTTCTACTTTTTTATTTAGAAAACTTCCAAAGGAAAGAAACTTTTGTTCAAACAACCTACCACTCACCACCCTGGGCTGGATGGCACTGTCTGTGCCTGCTGCCCACAGGGGAGCTCCCCAGTCGATTTTTCTCTGTCCGCTGGAGCAAAGTGTTGGTAGTAACCAATGCATCAATGGAGAGAACTTGAATGCTTTCATGCATTCAGTATTACTCATCTCAGGTGTTCTTTAGAATACAGCTGAAGACATCTGGCAGGCTAAGACACAAGCGGTCTTCACCCTTGCCACAGAACAAGAGTATGGACTCAGCTAAACCATCCCACCTCTCCATGCCCCAGCTGTAAAGCAAGGAGGATGCCATTTTGTCACAGGGATGTGAACTCTAACCTCTTTAGGAAGGGCTGATTTCTAACCTGACAACATCTCTTTTGATGATACACATCCCTAAAGTACACGGTTATGACAAACACTCGATATGGCTCATAAGACGATGTTGGTACTTACTTTTTCAAAGGCTCTATGACTGTCTTTTGGATCTGATTCACCTGTTGAAAGCAAAAGGGATGATAATATGTCAGGCTCGTTGAAAAAGCCTGTTTGCACAACGACACATGTTTGCATGGTGCCTACCATAGAATGATGTGGGTTTCTGAGCACAACCACAATGCCCCTTAACCAAAAAATAGCAAACTTCTCCCATGTGTTCCGGATGAGCTGAAATCCCCAGCACAACCAGAGTCAGAAGAGGAGTAAGATTATAGAGAAACTCGTGTGGGAAGCATCTTGGAGATGATGACAAAAAGGGAAGGAGGATCTGTCTGGAAGGGCGAGATACCACCAGCACCCCAGCACACCCTGGTCTCCCCTTCTTCAGCCAAACCCATATTCACCTTCTCCTGGTTGAAAGAGTCCATCCTCTTCATCGCTGTGTCGAAGGCTGTGACCATCTCCAGAAAGCTGGGCTCCTGTTCACACAAGGGGTTAGACAACAGGTCCGAAGAGATTTTGACAGCCGACTTGGACATGGCTGTGAGCAACAGGAGCATGCAAAGGAAAGCAGAGAGGGTCAGGTCTCAGCGGCTGCCTGGTGGGACAGCCACACAACCCCTCATTGCCACGGCTGGCACCTGCATCTGCAAAGGGTGACCATGGGCAAAAATCGGGGACCTCAGCCACCAAGGGGGTGTTTAGCACAACTTTCCAGGAGACATTCACTGGTGGTTGAGAGAAAAGAAGGGAAGAGCCACCAATTCATTCACGTAAACACCCAGAGAACTGTTTTTATATAAGTAAGTCTGAACCACTCCAATGTACAGCTTGTGATGTTGCCAGAAATAATACAAGACTAACAAAAGCACTGTTCTCTTAAAAAAATGTAGACGTGGTTTTTTTGTATGTCTTTTCTCGACAGACTATTAAGTGTCACTCTTAGTCTCACTACAGCTCTTCCACAATGAGAAAAATCACAGTCCATTAAGTCTTTCAAATGGCTTTACAAAAATATATATTTGAAGTGGATTTAGTGCTGGTGGAAAAGGACCAGACTGACAGGACTGGAAGACAAGGTTTCTCTTTTACTCTCAAAATAGGCACTACACAAGCAGCAGAGACGCAAGCTGGCTAAGCACTTTCCCTCAATGAGCCTAAATTTTCTGCCTGTGGAGACCAACCCCACAAGCCAGGGGAAAATGCAAAGGCTGAAGTCTTTTCAGACCCTGAGACTGCCACCAAGAAATCCAGAAACACCAGGTCACACTCTGACGGGCTTCAGTTCCTGTCTTGCTGAGCACTTTTGCTTGTTTTCCATCAGACACATCTCTCTTCCTATCCAAACACGTGGTCTTCAAAGGGAAAATTAAATCAGGGACCACTATAAAAGAGCAAGAAAATAGCTAAGGTACAGAATGGAAAAAAAGATTCATAAAAAGGCAAGCATCAATATAAACGGGAATAAAGAAGAAAAAAAAAGTCATGGGTACTAAAAAAAAATGTTCTTTTTCGTCAGCACTGTTGCTGGAAGTTATTCCAGTTTAAGATCAGAAAGCCAGATGCTTGAGCCGTGCTACAGATGAGCTTTGGAAAGACTCCTACTGTACTCACTCAGATATTAAAAGTTAAAGTCATCTGAATAATGGGGCTTAAGATCATAAATCAAGGGGTTAAACATTCTGATTTAAAGGTTACACACAATTATACAGAGAGCTCAGAAGCTAAATAGCTGGGAAGCTCAATGCTGAACGAGACGCTAACTACGGAATAACAAAGCTACCGTATCCGTCTATTATCCAAACATTAAGGGTTTAGGCATTTAAACCTTTAAACAGATGGGATATAATCCATATGTGTGACCACATCTGAGGAAGGATTTGTGCCAAAATGGGATGGAGTTAAGAATGGCAGAACTCCTTCAGCTGGAAGAAAAATTAGTTTCCCTTCATAAGGAGAGGACTGAAAGTGTACTGTAGCAAGGGGAGCTGCTGCGAGCAGCAGGGTCATGCCAGGAGGCCAGAATCTGGGGTTTTTCAGGCACATTCAGCAAGACTTTGGGCCAGGCACTTCCCCTGAATCACCGACCTCACCTGTACGGCTCTGAAAAAGCAGCCACGGTGGGCTCCGTGGTTCTCGAGGCAGCTTTGCGGACCCCGGCACATGCTGTGTCCCCACTGGTGTGCAGGGAGCCGGGAGCTGGGGAGGGCATCCCCCGGTCCCATCTCCACGTGCCCGATGGTGAGCCCCCTCTTCAAACTCAACAGGCACACTGCTGACGTGGGAGAGGAGAGGAGAGCATCGCCTGCCCCTCGGGGTGGGCTTCAGGAGGGTCTGTACTGCACTTCGCTCATAAAGCATGAGGGATGCGACTCCAATTAAAGGCAGTGATTTTAGAGAGCCACTGCTTGTTTGAATCATGATAAAAGTAGTGGAGAACAGCCAGGCACGCTCCAGAGAGCAAAACTGAGCCACGGTGATCCACCTGCACCTCAGTTCAAAAGGAGAGCTTTCGTCTCCCATTAGAGAACATCCTCCTGTTCCTTAAGATCGTATTTTGTTTGGAAAGAGGGCGGGGAAGGGGGTTAGTGATCTTCTGCCACAGTACAGAGAGCACTGCTAATAACCCATACCCTGTTCCCAGCCATGCTGCTGCAGCTGGCAGGGCAGTGGCCGAGCCTTGCAGGAACATTTTCGTGCAGACTGAGGAATCGGTCTTGTTCTGAGCTGAGTCTTTTTTGGCAGAAGGTGGAGACTCAAACCACCAGGTCCAGTTTGCTAGGGAGTGTTTGCAGGCAGTGAATAATCAACCCCCTCGGCACAGAGGTACAGTGGAAGAAATAAGACACTCAGGAGGACACAACAACGCTGATACACTGCCATCCTTGTCGGATATGGGGGCTGGATGTTGGCTGAGCACGCACAGCTATCTCCCCTCGGGAATGGGCACTGCCAGGTGAGGAAAGCAGTCTTCAGTGCTCGATCCGATCTACCTCCTTTTCCTTCACCCATCCCTCACCAGACCACATTCAAAATCTTCCCTTACACTCATGATTTCATGCCTTTAAATGAGAAATCAGATCTTACTGGATCTGGCCAAGGCTCATTTGTGACTCTGCCATGTAGCAGAACGGAAAAAGAAAGTCCTCCCACAGCTCCTCTGGGACTTGAAATGCTCCATATAAACAACGCCCACTGCAAGGGAGGGGAGGGGAATCCTTAACAAGGAAAAACTTACCAAGGATCCCTGACAATGACCAGAGTCCCCAGAAAGGGCAGTTTTCACCCTGGAAAGAAGTCCTGGCAGCACTGGTTACTGGTGCCTTTCCCACCACTCTCCCTGTGCAAGCACGCGCATGTGCCAGCACTGTGCTGGGAACAGTGGGAGAGCGCAGGCAAGAGCCGGGATCCGTGTTTATGTCTGGCAATATCCAAGCATGCACACACACATACACACAGGTGAGAGCCTGTATCATGGGAAGCCCCAAATTTGCCAGCCCTCCCGCTGGCAAAGGGCCCGGTGGGGCTCCTTCCCACTCCCCTGCCCCTCTGTGAACCAAACTCCCACGAGATGAGTGTTGGACCAGTCCAGCCCACACCTGTTTGCGCTGGTGCATCTGCCTTGGCTCCGGAGCTGTGGGGGCCCGGTACAAATAGGGACTACTCCAAACCACATGCTGAGAAAAGCCATCTGTGTTTAAAACAGCTCTTTGCTGCATGTTTCTGCAGGCTGCCCTGCTCGGTTCAATAACCGGCATCCACCGAATCCACTTCTCCCAGCTCCCCTCCACCAGATCGCTCCATCTCCTCTCTCCCATCTTCGTTTAAAGCCCGCGCCACGTGGTGCGGTCACACTGGTTTCCTACTAGAGAAGCTATGAATGGAGCGGGCAGGGGCTGCCGTGCCTTGGGACAGGACACCTGCAGGGCAGATGTCACCCCGCGCAGGCAGCAGCAGGCAGCTGCGGCGGTACACGCAGAGATGACTTGTTTATTGCTTCCTACATCGCCCACTGCCACGAGGTCAAGCCAAGGCAAGCAGCCACCAAGGGAACGAGCAGGGTTATTCCTGAATGAGAGCTGCTAGGTCAGCAGTTCGTACGCGGAACACGTACAGCAATGCCTACGTGGTGCTCTGCAGACCCCCCCAAAGCCTCGTCCCACCTTCCTTGGGCTTCAGATTGCATAAGATGCCCTCGACTGAAGTAGGTGAATATGCACTGCTCGACACAATAGGCTCAGCTGGAGACTGCTCCTGCCTGTCGAACATGAGAACTGGAATAATTACTCCTTTTTTTCAGCTGCAGAAACTGAGGCAAAGAAAGTGACTTGTCCAAGGCCACACAGCAAGCCACAGCTCAAGAGATAGCGACTAAGTCCGTAACATACTTTCTGTTCCCTCGGTTGAGATACTGCTCAGCAGCCCTCATGCAGATGGCCTTGTAACTAAGCAAACTGAGTGGGACTGAGATCTAGATTTGTTTTCCAGACTTGTCACAGATTACTCATGTGATCTTGAGAAAGTCACTTCATCTCTTTGTGGCCAAGTTCACAGTCTATGTATCCTACAGTTACATACCCAAGTCTGCATCTGTGCTTTTCTTCATATCCTTCTGAAGTTTTTTGGTCTGATCTTCCAATCTGAAAGATGGGAGAACAAGGCAAAGTCTGAATCTTGGAAAGAAACAAACCCAAGTGTATCATACGTGCAACAAATCATTTACGGGCTGAATATGCTGGCTTCTGTTATGAGTTAAAAATATCCAGGCAAGGCTCTATGAAGTTCAGTGCTGCTCAACCTTTTCTGGTTGTTTTCACATGGTTTTCAACCTTTTCAAGTTTGTGATCTCTTATTCAAAGTCACATATTTTCTTAAGTCCTCACACTTACCACAAATGGTAAAGCCAAATGCTTCCAGATGATAAGTGTGAGCTTATGCGACACAGTCAGTACGGTAAAACCAATATTTGTCCTCAGAGGTGTTGAGCTGTTCGGTAACCCCACAGTTTTCTGGCAATTTTACACTCTTTACTTTAGAGCTGCCATAATCTGCAAACCTCAACCCCACTGCAAATACTTCTTAGGACACCTTTGAACACCCAGCCACCAGAGAAACTCTGAAGAACTAGAAATTACAGGGCAGTGAGCGATTTGCTGGGAAGAGCATAACTGGCTAAAATTTCCTGGGAAGGTGCAGTAAGAGGGCACAACAGAGAAGTATGCTACTGTTCCTGTTTTACCAGTGTGGTTGATACTTACTGCTGAAGCTTTCCATATTCCCTTTCAAAGTCTCTCTCCACCTGTGGAAAGAAGAGATGGAAATCAGCTCAAAGGTACTGCAGCAGAGCCTGGAGTGGCAACTACCTGTGCAGGGAAACTTGTCCTCAGGAAATGCCTACGTGAACCCAGGCAAGCATAAGCTGCAGCTATAATGGGAGTTACACTTCAAAAGTAAATGAAGTCTTGGGGTTTTTTCCTCTAGACTCTCTCAGAGCAAAAGACACTGCCACCAACTGCGTCAGCTCATTCCAAGGATGTGCTCCAGCACATGAATTGGAAGCTGACAGAGTAAACGGGAATGCCTTAAAAGCAGAGAGATCGCAACTTAGCACGCACTGACACAGGCGCCCACAGCTCGGCTCGGTGCTGGCGGGGGACGAGCCCGTTTTCTCTTCCAGAGGCACGATCGTCCCAGAAGCTGAGGAGCTGCTTCTCCTCCAGCAGCGTGCTGTAAAGGAGCCCTGCGGTGGGTCTGCCCATGGCTGGCTGCCAGACCCCCATCCAGCCGCTCTCTCCTTCCCCATCCTCAACAGGATGGTTTTTCTCCCCGCAAACCCCTTAAGCCAACACTGAGCCCTCCAGTCTCCATAATATTTGCCCCCTTGCTACGCTCCTTATTCCTGCAATAGCTCCCTCCGATGAAATACTTCAGCTGGAGCAGCTGTCCAAGCGGACTGCGACACCTCGCAAAGGGAGGAGAAACCTGGGCTGGTGAAGAGCGCAGAGCTAAAGAACAGCCTTCTCCCAATGCTACATCAATGACTGCTTCCTCCTACTTGCTATCTGGCAGCAAGTCTCCAGTGATACAAGATATTTTAAGGAACTTTCCTTCCATGCTGACTGTTTTAACACACACTTAAACAGTCATTCCACACCTCGTCGACCAAATAAGCAAATGGATTTCAACTGACCAGCCAAGAGTAAATACATGCGCTTTTGTTGTCATGGGATCAAAACTGGGTTCATTTGTGTTGTCAAGCTACCATGCTATTAAGGAAATGCTAACTGTTGCAAGCAGCCACGACTAGAAGGATCCAAAGGTTTGTTCCAAATCTTCATGCTGTCCTCAGGATTTCAAACCCAGGCTTGATGTAACAGCATTATGTGAAACCAGAACGCTTAATAGGGACATTTGCTTTTCAATCAATACTGCTATTAAAAGACCAGTATTTTAAGACGGAGCCCAGTAATCCCGGTTTTCTTGAAACCTCCTTTTCTAAATATCTTTTTGGTCTGCGCTTTCAGATACACTGGAACTCCGCAGCGATGCGACGAGCCTGATCTGAAGGCAGCCGGTGACCGGCGCGGCGAGCGTGCCGAGTTTCAGCCCCATCCCCAGTGGACAGCTGTCCACACCATCAGCTCCCACCATCCGGGGGATGCATGCTGGCTCACCCTGCCGATGAAAAACCTCCACCGAGCTCCAACTCCCTTTCGTGCTGCTAAAAATGGTCGCTGGAGAACAGGCATGGAGCAGTGTGGGGGCAGCTCACACGACTTCTGCCTGGTTCACAGTTCTGCAGAAATCCGCAGCAGCTGGTGCCTGGAGGTCAGGTAACCAGCACATAGTAAAAATCACCCTCGATTTCTATGGCTGTTCCGGCTGCTAAAATAACCAGGGAGTATTGCGCTCTATTTATATGCCTTATGTGTGAATTGTTTTGGTTGCAAACCAGAGAGGGTCGGGCACGACTCAAAAATATGTCCTTTGAAGGCTGGTGGTGTGCTTTCCCTGGCATGGAGCTCTGGCCCTCTCCACGTTCGGGAGGCTCGTCCTTGTGTCTGCTCAGCAATCAGTGCCTCCGAGAACCGGAGGTTTTGGCCATGAAATGAAATTACCTGCAAAGATTCACGGTATCTGCCCCTTCCTTTTTGCTGTTCGATTCCCCCATTACTGTGCAATGAGCGGAGCCGAGCAAAAGGCATCACTGCCTAATGGATACAAAAGAAGGCAAAACTTCCCCACCCTGCGACCCTCCGGGTGATGTGAACCCCCAAATCTTCCAGGGCTTCCAAGCTTCCCCGAAACACCCAACCCAGTTCGCCTGTGCGCTTTCTACATACGATCGAGGTGAATCTACAAGGCGGCACTTCAGCTGCCCGGCCTGACTCACGTCTCCAGTGCCATCTATGCAGAGACAGCTGCCCAAGGATTGCTCTTATTTTTCACGCCCACAGTAGCAACTGGCTACCAGTCATCACAGTCTGCAGGCTGATGTAGCCCTCCCAGTCATCGCTGCTCTCATTTGCATCGCAGGAGCCCAGATATGCGACACAAGCAGTGAGAAGCAAGGTCCCCATGCACTAGACAGAGAAGACCTGCTCTCACGTGCTCCCACCATGCAGATTTACAAGCGGCAGCGACCGGTGGATCAGAGGCGTGCAAGGAGGACAAGCTGAGAGCAAGCCAAGTACATTTTGCAGAGTACACAGTAATTCCCGCTCCCAGTAGCTATCATCAATGGCCACACATACCCAACACTTACGGCAAAAGGCTATGGATAGGATTATCACGTTAAGAGTAACGAGAACAAGAAGTACAGGCAAGAAAATTACAATATCCTGAAGGGAAGTTTCCATAATATTAAAATAATCCCACTTCTCTGCAGCCTCCTTCTGAAAACTCAAAATCAAAATGTGTTTCTGTATTGAATGCTTTTTCTTCCAGGCATTCAGGCTAGTTAATGCAAGATTGCTTGTCTCTGGGTTTTTATTTAAATCTACATAAAGAACGATGAGTTCTTAAAAGCACTGAAATAAAACGACATTCTTCTTTTTCACCCAGTTATTTTTGTTTGCAAACACTGGGCCTTCCACCTGTGATAACATCCCTCCTGCTTTAAGGGCAATATCATAATCGACACCATGGTTACAAGGCAACAAAGCAAGACCAAAGCCAATACTACAAAGAGATGGAAATAAGGGACTGTGATGAACCTTCTTATTCCCCTGAGGTTTATTTCTTTTCCTGGAGGAGGAGGACTAGCTGATTTCTACATGTTCCAGTGGTCTCAGCATCTTCGTGGGTCTTGGGAAAAAGAGGAAAGCATATGCTTCCTCCTCCCTCCTCTCCAAAAAAAAAGAAACCCATATAATTAGGCCAGAAATTCTGCTATAACCTGGACCTTTTGCTGAGCTTTTGCCATCCCGTCAAGCGAGAGGAGATTCAAGGCAAGTAATGCAGGTGAATATTTGTTCTGCGTCCCACAGCAGAGCCCTGAGCCAAAGCCACACTGCAGAGTGCAGGGGTATCTGGGACTTCACAGGCTTCGCCACCCAGCAAACTCTCCAAACCCCCATCTAGCCAGAAAGCTTTCAAGAAAGGCTGCTTAGGCGGCATGCTAAAAGGGAAAAAGGATGCACCTCCGAACTGCAGAGACCAGTTACGTCCCGCTGAAGATTGAAGGAAGAGAGTGAAAACGAGTGAAACAATTTAACTGGCGTCACTTGATTTCACCCCACCATTTCTGCGACATTTACTCCGTTATTTTGGGATTTCCAGCTCGCTGGTGGAGCCCAATGGAAAGGCGCTGACGGCCGGCAGCTGCAGTGGAATCCTCCTGCTCATGGAGCTCCTCCGTCCGACATCCCTGGGGAAGGCAGAGCTGCTGGGATGAGTCAAGGAAGGGAGGCTTGGCAGGCGTGCAGGCCCACAGCTCAGGTCTCCGCTCCCTGCCAAGCTGACTCACCCAAGGTTAGCCAGCGAGGAGGAGGAAGGCGAGCCGTCTGAGTCAGCCCAGGCCAGAGCGCTGCCGAGGGAGGCAAGGGAGGGAGGAAGGGGTAAAACCTGGGTGACGTGAAGGGGCTGTGCGCTGGGTTGCCCCATCCCAAGAGCCGGCTGACTCCCCCGGCTGCCGACCTGGCTCCGCGCCCCGTGGGGATGCACGGCTGGCTCTTCTTCCCGGCTACCTGCCAGCTCAGATAACCCAAGCCCCACTGAAGAGCAGGGTACAACCTCGGGGTGACGCAGATGAACTTCAGCAAGCTGGAGCTGCGAGAGAGCTCGGAAGACAACTACAAGCTCTGGTTCCAGCGTAACCTCTGCTTGGACCGAAGTTGTCCTGGGGGAGGGAAGAACATCTCTACCGTAAGAGGCTTCATCGCTGCATCGGATTTGAGCAATAAACATTCTGCAGAGAGATATAATTCTAACAGGTTTAACTCCTATCACTGGGCATTAGTTTAATTGGGCTGTGTTACTGTGTCCTCTGCAGCTCCACTGACAGCAGGTCCTCTCTGCGCATTAGATCCTCCCACCCGGCTCCTGGCCTCTCGGCAAGCCCGGTGACAGCTGCTCTTTTCAGGGGAGAGGAGGGGAGAGATTATGCTGTCTGGAATTGGATTTGCCCAGGTTAAGGTGGAAACAAAGCAGAGGCATGTCTGGGGGGTGGGAGATCACTTCAGTTCACCAGCCGATATTTTCTACGGGGGTTTCCTTCTACCTGAAGAGCTAAACTGTGGCTGACACCATGCCCTTCTTCAAAGAATCAGAAGCGAGTGGGCATAGGGAGTCATGACTAATTCCCTCTGCAGCCTAGGCAAATTGCTTTTCAGTACTACTGCCGGCCTAGATTTGACACCAGCCCCAGCATCGTTTCATCAAGAACAGAAAAAAGGTCCGTTGGCGAGCTAAGCCTCTCTCGGCAGAGCAATTCTCCCTTCTCCTGCACTCGAGTTACATGCCTCATGGAGAGCCAAATAACTTAGATCCTAACAAATGCTTTTTTTTTTTTTTTTCCTCCCTCCCCTCCTCTTTTGTGGTCCAATCTCTGCGAGTGGGAGATCCTCTACCCGCAACCACTTCCCTTCTGATCGGCTTGGGATGCAGCCTTGGAGATGCCACACCTTCCCACTTCCTGCAGCGGGCTCCAGAGGCCAACATCTGGAATATCACAGACCTCGGCTGCTACCGCTGTTCCCAAAAGCCCGCACAGATGGAGCGTCTCAGCTTGCAACTGGGAGGTAAAGTTGGGGGCCTCGAGCTCACTAAAGCTACAAAGCAGCCCCATCGCTTCCACACCATGACACTGAACGCCTCGCTCCCAGGGGAGATCGGTGGTTTCCTGCCATTTGTTCTTCTTTGAAGAGCTGCACTTTACACTTACTGTGAGGTTGCAAGGCTTTGGGCTTCCTGTTTTCTGCTTTCCACGTATCTGCTGCCTGGAAAGTATCATCATCATCAACACACGGCAAGTGGAAGCCATTTAAAAATCAACATCCGACTCTGAGCTACTGAGTCGTTGACACAAGAACTCGTTGTTCTTCTTGGGGGAGCTAAGGAAGAGGGGGAAGGAAGGAAGGAAGGAAGCAAGGAAGGAAAGGGAAAAGGCCTGGAAACACTCAGGCTACTGAATAAACCTCTGCCTGCCGGATATTCTGAGCTGTTCTATTTAATACACACACGCACACACACACATATATAAGCAATGCCTGTCAACTGCCTCAGAAGAGCATATACCAGCAGCCCAGGGGAAGGCAAGCTCTCAAAGGTGCAATCGTTCATCTGCATGGACCCCAAGCTCCTGCCGCAGCTCGGGGATGGCTGATTTCAGCAGCAATGGAGCACAACACAGGGGAGACAAGGTCTCTCAGACCTTGCAAAAGCAGCAGGAGCAGAGGGAAATCAGCAAGTGCTGGCAAGAGAAAAAAATACAGTCAACTTGGATGTGAGAATGGGTGGGATGGAGATGTCCAAGAAAGCCGGTCAAGACACCCAGAGTTGCAGAGCAGTTGGTTCTTGCAAGAGCCTGGAAGGACACTGGTGTTGGAAACACCGGTAAAGTGGACGAGAGGAAAAATCTCACAGAGCAAGGCAATGTGGGGTCTCCTGAAATGAATGGGAACGGATGTGAAGACCTGAGGCTGGTAGACTGCCTTTCCTGGGGGGCCACAGAGAGCAGCTCCTTCCGCCCGCTGGTCGCCAGCCCCTGGTAAAAGGGTGGCTGAAGAGATGCAAAAACCATTGAGGGATTTTATGAGTCCTTCTCTTCATTGCCTGCCTGGCTTAAATTTTGTACTGACAGTTTGGAGCCGTTACAGAAAATTGCTGCTCTATGGCAGCAGACAACTACCAAATCCTTTAAAATAAAACATGACAATCAAGCCATAAAGGGAGTGGCAGAATTAGCCCTCTGCCTCCAGGGGGAAATGTCATGTCCCAAGGAGAAACTGCCCCGTAAACACAAGTGCCCACGCATCCTGAGGAATTAGCCGCGATGAGTGTCCCAGAGAGGAAGGATCAGAGATGTTAGCCTGTTCAAGGGATTAGGTCACCAATGCCGTTATAAAGACAAGGTCTCCACCGTGCTCACTGTCGGGGCACTTATTTTAGAGCAGGTATGCAGGTTAGTTTTCAGGGACAGCTACTGTGAGGTGCCACAGCTTTTTTTGCACGGGACAAAGGCAAAGACCATCTGCTTAAGAAGGGAAAATACCACAGCCAGCTGCAAGCAACAGCACTTGGGATAGGAGTCTCAAATACACGAGAATACAAAATGCTTTTTTAATTTGCTTTTAAAGCAAATGCTGTGCAGCACAAATTAATTCACGCCTGAGCACTAAGCATCTCAGCTTATAAGCCTTTCTTTGGAAACAGTTATATTCAGCGATCTGAACCACTCCTCCTCCTCCATCTGCTCAGAAAGGATGAACAAACAAGCCATTGCTGAAAGAAGGAAGGAAGGAAGGAAGCCCGTTCAGCCATCTCCGAGGAAAACTGTGCCAGACCAAAAGAGCTCTTCCCCTCACCACCCCCCCCACTCCCCAAAAAAAAAAAAAAGAAACAGATCCCAAACCAAAATACTCTCCCTGGTTGGGGCTCCCCCTCACTCCTCGCACGAGGAACCGAGCGCTGGTCACACGCGGCAACAGGTTCTGCTCGCTCACATCTCCCTCCCACGCGCGCGCACACGCACACGCTCGCAAAATGGGACGAGTCAAAGTGCCGGCTTGACTCATCAGCCACATGATCAAAGGCTGGATCTAAAAAGGGGGAACTGGTTTACTCACTGTCTTGGGTACAATCTGTTTCTTGGGCTGCCCGATCTTGAACGGTATCCTGGAAAAGAGAGAAGAGGGAACGTGTGAGCAAGCGATACTGGCCTCAAACAGCCCAGCCCCGCAGGTCTCGTCCTTGGTGATGGGTTCTGGGGTGAGCAGGGCTTGTCCCGGGGCAGCGGCACCCCCTTCCAGCGTGTTCCCCCTCCCCGAGAGCCGGTGTCTCCCCCGAGGTCAGCACCTCCATCTGCAGCCACAGCAGGCTCTTTTCCCCACCCTCCCACCGTCCTAGTAAGGCAAATCAATGCAATGGATGCTCCAGGCATTCCTTGGCAAAATAACGGCTGAAGAACACGCTATGTTTAAAAACAAATCCGAAGGGGAGGAAAAAAAAAATTTAAAAAAAAAAAAACCAAACCCTGTAAATATTTAGAGAGAGGATATTAAAAAAAGTAACAACCCGAGTGTCTGGAGCTGTGAGCTGCTTCAAAGGATTTCTCTGATAGAACAGCTGTAGGAGCGGCTCACCTGCCAGCAGAGCAGCCTTCATTCTTAAAATCTGTAATATGGTTGCTAGTAAAAACTGGGTTACCTGAATGATTTTCCCCACGCGAGCTAGCTCAAAGGTGAAGAGTACTCAAAATAAATTACACAACATATGTAAGGGTGGCTGGGTCAGATGGTTACAGCCGCACAGCCATCCTGAAAATAATTGGATTTCTTTCACCTATCAGTATAATAAAAATCCGGGAATTCAGCTGCTGTTTTCAATGTATTTAATTAAGTTAAAGAGGTGCTGCTTCGTTAAAGCATCTCACCCAAAATCTCCCAACGTTTTCTGCATCATACTGCTTTAACTAGAAAGAAAAAATTGGTCTCATGATGAAATGCAAGTATCTTTTCCCAGAGATGCCTCACCTAGAGCGTGCCTATGGCTCAGTGGCACTGGCATCCCATCCCAAATCTGCACCAAGCGCTTCCTGGGAAGGTGCCTGAGTCCTCTCTTGGACCAGTCCAAATTCTCACACTGCTACCCAAAGCCTAAGCTAGTAACATGCATTTTAGGACTCTGGCTTGGCCGCTGCTCACATTGCCTCCCCAGCTGCCTTTTCTCACTGCTGGGCAGCAAACGTGTGGCTGGTTCTCCGTTTGCTTCTCATCAGCTTTACTTACAAGTTCCCCTGCACCGGCGCTGCTATAACACCGCTCAATCGGACAACTGGAACCCCAGAAAACATTTTTATTAGCATAACGTGCTATAAAACCCAGCTATGAGCAATGCCACGCGATGGGAGAAAGTGCTTGAGACGAAGCAACTCGCCATTCACGTGGATGAAGGAAAACCAAGATTATCCGACAACCTGATCCCTCCCGGCCTCGCTTCTGCCCATCTTCGCCGCTGTTTTCGAACCAACAGTGTAATTAGCCACCGGTAATAAACCGGGGCTGCAACCCATGCGTACCTCCTGAGCAGCTCAGGGAGCACAAGCCAACCTGAGTCACCAGGTTTAAATTTAAATTTTTCTGGAGAACTTCCTGTTTATGGTTCTCCGGTTGGACCAATATAATTTTAGGTTGTTAACCCTTTCCAGCTCCTGTGGCAGGCCTGGCAACCGTGAATCACACTTCTTTTATAAACAAACACTCGTCTGGTGTATAATTACCCTTTCAATAACTGGGTGTGTGGTGCCTTACAGGAAGAAAGCAAAAAAAATAAGCATTTTTTCTTTGTGTTTTCCTCCATGGGTCAAATATAAACTAAAATGAGGCACCTCCCTTACTCTCGCAGGCACAGGCTGTCCCATCTGCAGCCAGGTGCCGTCACTCGATGTTTTTGGAAGTGATGGCATCAACCTATCTTGGTGGAAGGAGGAGAAAAAGATGTGGTCTTTACCCTGGGGAGTGAGTTACCCCAAGAAAAACCAGCTTGCACAACAAGCCATGGCGGCTGCTGGGCAATCTCCGGCAGCGTGGGAGCAAGCACAGGGTTCAAGCTGGAGCTAGGCTGGTTCCTAGCGGGAAAGCACAATTAAAAGGGTGATTAAAGCATTACCTGCGCACAACCTTTCCCTCTCCCTTGTCCAGCCAGCCCTGCCAAAGGGGGTTATTTAGAGAAGCAATCCCGACCGTCTTTGTCCACCGGCAAGCTGGGTTAAATCAAGGCAATTCTGGTAATAAAAGATGTAGGGAAAGGGCAGGGCAAAGCCATCGGGTGCCACCGAGCTGGCAGCGCAGGCAGCAGCCAAGGGGAAGGCAGTGGGGAGCACAGGGGTCCCATCCCGTCCTGTCCCCCATCTCTGCTGCACCCACCACAGAGGGGAAGGGGAAAAAAAAAAAAATCCCAGTTACTTTCTTCCAAAACAAAAGAAATTCACTGGAGTGCTTCACAACACTGCAAATACACTTTGAAGCAGTAAATATCTCTATTAGCATCGTGATATCAGTTGGCTAATTATGTCTGTCTCGGTAAAACCTCTAAAAAATAACCCCGCGCAAGTAATGTCTATTCACCAATTATTTTTTTTGTTGTTGCTATTTTACAATTTGAGATAATCTTCCCAGTTTCTGAATCTTTGCCTTTTAATATGGTTCGGGGCGGGGGGAATGCATAAGCAGGAACAAAAGCAGTAAGGAAGAAAAAAGATGAGAGGTATGGATCTTATCTGAGCTTTTAAAACAAATGGATACCCCGCGCCTCAAAACGCGACAGCAAGCTGCTGCTGGCACTGAGAATTTTTGTCCCTCCATGAGTTGGCGTCCCAGTCTGCAAAATGGGGAGGGACAGCGTGCCCCTGACACAGCAACGTTACAACCATTTGCTTAAAAATTAAGAGCCCTTGGGTGTTTTATTCTGTTTAGAAAATGTATGGTGGGCACAATGCAAACAAGTTGGAGAGAAATGGGATCTTTCGCTGCCATGGATTACCAGCATAGCACGGTTATCACCGCTACCTTAAAAGCTGAGCACAGGTCTATATACACCGAAGGAAAACCAGAATCGGTGCATTTTTTTTTGATCTCTCATTTCTGCTGAGCGAGAGAAAGCTGGGGTTGTGTTTGGGGTGTGAAATCCCTTGAAATCCTGTTCCTGAAGAGCGCGAGCGCGCTGAGTCACAGCCGGAGCGTTCCCACCCCGGTCCCCCCCGCGCTGCAGGGCTGGGGGAGCATCCCGGCCCCTGGCCCCGACCGGCCACCCGCACCCCACCCGGGGAGGTCGCCAGGAGTTTGGGAAAGCAGTGGGGTTTCAGCTGGGAGGAAGGAGGGCGAAGCACTGCAGGGAGAGGGTGGGAAGAGCTTAAAGTCGGAAAAAAAGTGTGGGTGGAGAGAATCCTGCAAGCTTCTACTCGGGGATGCTCAGGAACCCCAGGGAGGGGAAGGTGGGAGAAGCTGTGGCTAATTTTCTCTGAAGTTTCCCCAGCAATGTCATATATTTACTTGGCTTTTCCATGTGCAAACCCAGGGCCACACACCAAAGCAGCTAATTCTCCTCTGGATGCACAGGAGAGTTGCAAACAAACCTCGCAGGCAGGGGGGGAATACAGCTCAATGAGGTCTGCAGGGAGCTGGAGTTTAAAACATGTAGCTCCCCCTCCCACTCTCCGCCAGTCCCCTGAAACGAAGGCACGCAGGAATTGCCAGCGTGAATCAGACTAAATCATTGCTAATTTAGGGAGGCGATGGTCCTTTTGCCACGTTGGACCGAGCAGGACATCAAACCTTGGCACCATCCCCGGCCTGGAGCAGGCGGTGGGGAGGCTGGGAAGCCTGGCCGGCGTTCGGAGCGTGCGCAGGGGATAAATAATCTGTGGATGCAACCCTTTCCCCCGTAGCACCTTTCATCTGAACATCGCTTTGCAACCCCTAATCAGGCCCCAGCAGACCCCGTGCAGATAAGCAAGGGATAAGCACAAAGCATTTTCACCCACAGCTGATAAGCCACTGCCCCTGGGGATGCCGAGCCGCTTGCTGCCAAACCAGGGGCTGGGGAGGGAAGGATGGATGGACAGACGGACAAGCAGCCCTTGAGGGAAAGGGCAAGGAGAACTGAGGCCGGGGCAATGTGCTCGCTTACACCACATTCTAGAGGTTAATTACTCAGACACTTAGGAAAAGTGACACCAAGTCTCTGGCGACCATGCACCATCAAAATCAGTATTTCTGCCACAGGCGGTGGTGGATGTGGGCAGCGTTTGCCAGGGACCTGCAGGTCTCAGTGCGGTATGAACTGGTGGTAACAACCGGTTTTTATCGGTAACACCACTACCGTCAGACTGCCAACTAAATTCATGTTTTGCGAAAAGTGCCCGCTTCCCGTGGAAAGTTTCAGGGCTTTTTTTTTTTTTTTTCATCGAAACCCCAAGCACCAGCAAGCCAGCGCAGCCTGGACTTCTGCCAGAGCTTTTCACTCTTTGAATTGCCACCAAAAATCTCAATTCTTTCACCGGAAAGAAACCTCTCTCTGTGTGCAGCCAGGAGGACGACACCCAGCCTCCCGCGCTGCGAGAGGTGACCCCAACCCACCGAAGCCAGTCTCCCCAAAGATTTTGGCACGTGGCATGCCGAGGGCTTCTACAAAACCATCCATTTATACCTGATCCAGACAAAAACTGGCCCCAAGCTACCCCAGAAACTCCCCCTGCGACAGTCCGGGGCCCTTCCCCAAACCCTGCTCTGCTCTGTGGCGAGTCCTTCCCTTCGCCTGGGCTGTGCCAAGCTCCTGCTTTGGGAGAGGACTCGCCTCAAGGTGTAATTGCAGCCAGGAGACCTGCTCTGTCCATGGGACTAGCTGCTACCCAGGAGAGATCAAAGCGCTCCTGCAAACATCAACAGGAAAGTTGGGAGCATCCAAGGAAGGATGCGAACAAGGAAGGACGCGAACGTGGAGGTAGTAACTTTCACTTTCTCATTGCCATTATCAAGTGAATTTGAGCGAGCATCTCCACGGCTGGAGGGTGCTTCTCCTCCCCTTCTGCACTCAGGGAAGCATCATTACAAGACGTCACTGCTAGGAAAGCTTTCCATGGTGTGATACGGGAAAGCCAGGGCACCCTGGAAGTTCAAGGGCAGCTGCGACCACCATCAGTAGCTGCTGAAGCAGGAGTAATTATCTCATTAGCGTTCCTGAGTCCTAACAAGTGCTGAAGACAGCCTGCACAGGACCCGAGGAGAGGCAACGTGGCAAAGGCTGGCAGGACGCGTGGTGCTACGCACATGCACGCCAAGAACACCGACCCCGGGCACCTGGACCACGGGTCTCACGACTTTGAGCTTCCTAAAAATTGTCAAAAGCTGCAAATCCGTGGCCGCGCGGGCTGCCCCAGAGGCAGGGGGGGATCCCAGCCCTGCCCAGGTGAGAAAGGCACAAAGGCAGACGCGGGTTAGGCATTAATCTCGAGCATCGCTCCGGATGCCTCGCTGTACTACATCGTGTCCATGGAAACTGCATGCACCGTCCCACCCCACTCCCCCCGCCTCGCAGGAACTCATAGCAACCGCTCCAAACACAGCGCAAAGGCAAAAAAAGGAAAAAATTATTCAAACGGATCACAAACAGCTTATGTCGAGGGAGACTCTGCGCCAAATTCTGGTTTGGGTTTTCTCTTCAGTGGAGACAAGAGGGGAGGTCATGGGGTGGCGAGAGGCAGGGAGAGGAGCGATGTGGGGATACGGTCCCTCGGAAATAAACGCATCCACCTCCAGAGGCGTGCACTCCCACCTGCGTTTCAACCCCATCCCTATGAACTTGCAGGCATTAAGCCACCAATGGATGTCAGGGTGAGCCCCTGCAGCAGGGGAGAAGGCAAAAAGAAGATGTAAACGTCCATTTTATGTTGGGTTAGGTCAGGCCGGGGAACAAGGCACCTTCCTCAACTTCAGCAGCAGAGAGGTGTGCCCGCAGACAGCGAGCTCTTCGGAGCAGGGGCTGCTCGTATCTCTGCATCTTGCACAGAGCCAAGCACGGTGTCAGTGTTAAGCAAATCAAAAATAATGTCAGAATCTACTCTCCCACCCATTCCAAGATGAGCATGAAAAAAATAATGATATTTTACTCACCCATCAAAAGAAAATTACTCACGCCAGGCGCGTGGGCGAGCAGAATTTTGCAAGGCTGTTTTAGGCCCTGACTATGCTACAAAAATATCCATTTTAAGCATGGTTGTGAAACACGGTTGTGGCTCAACTATAACACTGTTTTTTAGCTACCTGTACAAAGAAGGCGGAAAAAATAATAATTAAGAAATAACCACGTGCTAATCGCACTCCGAGGACCACGCTGGGCGGTGCGATCCCCCACCACGGCAGAGGACGCGGTGCACAGCTCTCGCCGGCTGCTCCACCCCAGGAGATGCGGCGTCCAGCCGAGGTGCCGGCGCTGCCTGCCTTGCAGAGGGCACGCCAGCGTTTCGGTTTCGCTGTGATAATACCTTTGGGATGTGCAAACCACCTTGCACGGGTGCTACACAAGGCAGCGCTGTGCAGGGAGGTGTTTGGGAGCTGCGCGCGCCTCGCTCACCGCTTTGGTATCCAGTTGCTTCATCCAATCTAATTTTATCCCGCGCTCATCTTCAAATCCCAGTATCGTTGAAACCCGGAGAGAAGGGGGAGCGTTGCCATTGACCACAACAGGACTGCGATTTGGGCTCCGAAAAACATCAATATTGATTCACTGGAAAGAAAACAGCGCCTTGGTCTGTGTTTGCATTGCACCTGCCCAACGTGGCCACAGCACAGCTCCAAAACATGGAAAACAAAATGAATAACCAACAAACCTACTCTTACGCTACAACCCAGCTATGCCTGCCACCTCCCCGTACTCTCCTCTTCCTTTGCTAGCAGGCATAAATCCATCCAGCCAACCGTCCTTTCTGAGACAAGCAGCTCTTCTTCACCTGCATCCCCAAATATTTCAGAAAACATATTTATATTAACTCTGGATTGCATCCGATAAAGATGTGGGGAGTTAAATATCGCACAACCATACAGTTCCACTCCCAACTTTAAATCGATGCCAGCTCCTTAGTCCACTTAGCAAGAGCTCCCTGCCAAGAGGCATATGGTTTAGCAGTCCGGCAACGGCAACCCCCCATGCAGACCAATAATACGCTGCAGTGCAACAAGAAAACACGTGCTTCACACTGCCTCACTATCAACATTTGCTTAACATATTTTTTCTCCCAGTAAATACCAGCTGTTGCAGCGGTGCCGAGAGGCAGCACTCGGATATCGAGCTGTCACACTACTAAAACCCCCTTCCCATTTGTAAAGTCACCTGCAGGAGCTGGGAAACCAAAACAGGAGGTATTTGGGAGTCTGGTTATGAGCTGCAACAACATTTGGTTTTACGCGGTTTCATGACCCTTAAAAACCCTTTAGATGGTCACAAATCAGATGCTTCCAGCAATTGAGGGTGATGATACAGTAAAAGCCATCACTTCATTTCCTTTATTTTATTAGAAGGAGCGATAGCCAAGGTAATTGCTGGAGTATTTTCCCCTCTCTCTTCCAAAACACATGGCTGCAGGTGAGTGGTGAGGAAGAGGGGGATGCAGACACATTCAAGAGACTCGAGTCCGCGGCGTAAAGCCTAAAGGAAGCCACCAAGCTCTGCTGAGATTTAGAAAACATCTCATCTGTCCATGCAAGGCTGTTGCCCAAAACAAGCCTACTCCTGCTCTAAATAAAGCTTAGCCTAGAAAGACAGCACTGCCTAGTTGCCTAGGTGCAGGAGTCAGGATTTCGGGGGTTTAATCCAGCCTCTGTCACCAGTGGCTTACTCTTTGGTCTCTGGAGCAAAGTTTTCCTGTGCTGGTACAACGGGCATTGCCATGTTCCCAGTCTCGATGCAGCACAGAGAGCCCCGACCCATCGAGCGCTCGCAAATAGCGAGGGAAAGCAAAGGATTAACCACACACAATTCAACAAGGCATCTACCATCCCGCTTGCAAACAGCCTCTTTGCCGGTTAATCTCTAGGGATTTCTCACAGGCCTTTGCAAAAAATTAATTAAGGTAACGAGCGTACAGAAGCAAAACTGGAGGCAGAGTTACGTGCCGCTTCCCCAGCATGATCTGCAGGACAGAGCTGAGGATGAAGCTCCATCCTCTTGATCGGCCGCAACAGCTGACCCCTGCAAAAAGGGGTTTTAATCAACGCTGCCCCGGGTCTAATGGTGCCCGTTGCCGGAGAGAGACGCACACACAAACTAAGCAAACACACTGCTACACAAATGAACCTCCCGTCCTGCCGGCCTGGAACAAAGCTCGCTCCCTCCGTGGAGACAGCAGAGCAGCAGCAGCAGGGATGGACATGTTTTACTCTGACATTTGAGGAGCAGGGCACGACCCCGGCACAATCGGTTCCCCCCCGGCCCAGCACGCATGCCGGCATTTGTTACCGCTGCCTGCTGCCGGCGGGAGCGTAACCCCTTGCTGTGGTGGCGAGGCGGACGTCACGCCAAACCCGTCCCTGCCAGCCGGGCGCTGAACTCCAGCCCCCCCCGTGAATAGGGCGATTCATCCGGGGCGGGCGTCTGCGTGAATTATCAGCCAGGAGGGTTGGCAGGGCCAGCTGGCCGAACTGAGAGCAATTGTGTCTCTGACACGCCGCCGAAGCCCCGCAGTGTCCGAGCCCCTCGCGTTCGCGCGTAAGCGGAGCCACGACACGCTGAAGGACTGACGCTGCTGGAGAAGAAAGAGGAGACTCAGATTTCAGCGGAGTCCCCCCCGCCTCCTTCTGGCAATGACCTTTTATTCCTCCCCAGCAAAAAGCGAAAACACCCGATCTCCCACCAAAAGCCACGTGGATTGTGAGGAAGCCACCAGACACCATAAGCTACAATCCCCAGACGAGGTCCTCAGAAGCAGCGTGGCCAGACGGACACTGGAAAGCGTAGAGGCAAAGCATTGCTGCTCTGCACCCAAATTATTCCTCATCCATCATGTGAAGGGAATACTTATCTCTTACGTTTTTGGCTCTGCGGCTCCTCCCAGACCAGGAGAGTGGAGCAGGTCTCTTCCAGTGGCTGGAGCTTTCTGAAAGCAGCCCCTGGGCCATGCTGCCCACAGAGCTCACGAGGGCAGCCCAGGCAAAAGGTGGCCCCAAGACCCTCGTTGACCAGCATTGTCTATAATCATGGCTGCTCTGAGATGAGTAAAGCAGAACAAAAATGAACCTGGTGGATAAGTGTGTATTTTTAACCAAAAGGCCCCATTTTAATAGGTACCCATGTGCGCGTCATTATATTGTTGAAGTATGTTTCCAGACCACAACTTCCCCCGCTCCCAACTCTAAAAATCTTCAATTTTCACCATGTGCCTGCCCTGGCAAACTCAACCTGAGC